ATCATCTATCTATCTATATAAATAAAAATGTAATGTTCGTTTGTTCCTACCGATTCCTTTGAAATTTTGACACAACGCTGCATTCGAATACGCACGTGTTTTTATATAATATACGTGTTGAAATTCCTCCCACTGAAAGGAGATGGACAGGATTAAGGCTTACAGTAAAAAACTCTGCTTCTATTTATACTATTTTAGATGCGGTGTTTTTGCGTTTTTGATTGCGTTTTAATAGGGTACGTCAACAGAATGTACACTAAGAAGGGATTTTTCGACATTTATAATAGATACATTTTGAGCCACAACAACGCGTGGCGGGGTCTGCTAGTTTATTATAATTAAAAATAAATATTTTAAATTTATAAATATAAATTTTAACAGTCGGGAAAGTTATGCAATTCATTACTAAATCTTTTCTATAATAAATAGAAATAAATTAATATAATATTAATTTAGCTTTATAAAAAATAATAAAATTATCGAATAATATTTAACTTGTATTTATTTAATAACTGATCTAAATTAGTACACATATTTAATCATTTATCAATTTGTACTCTCCTGTTGTTATTATAAAACGTTTATACATTTTAAATCATTTTTTCCAATGAATAAGTTTTAACGTAATGCCCAATATCATTGCACAAATATAACGTTTTCACATTGAATGGAAACCGTAGAGCAGATTTCAATTTATTTTTTTATAGATAAATTAATAAACTATTAACAATATTATTGGGCAATTAAGGATCTCGAAGAGCTTCAGTCTCCATTGAATCTGTTTGCTCAGTATTTTGTCTTATTTTTTTGCTGTTAGTAGACTTCCAATTACAATCACCGCGACCTTTTATTGTAAAAATGTAAACGCTTGTTGTTATCATCCAAAAAAATAATATACCAACCTGAAAGAAAAAAAATGAACTTAAAACTAAATATTTATATATATTTATTTATTTAAATTAAATAATTATCATACTTGTAACCAATATGACCATCCGTGATAATACAGAACTTGAATGTCTACAACTAATAATAAACCATAAGCTGCTGTCAATTGGTGAATCAATTCCGCCATATTGCCGGAAATATAAAGCACTGGAATAGTTGCCGATATAAAACCTAAATTTAAAAACAGAAATTTAATAAAATTGGAAAGTAGATATTCCATTTAAAGTTGTTTATGACAGAATAATTTCATAATTCTTTGGTTTGATGGAAAACGGCAACACAACACAGGTAGTGTGCCAAAGGGAATGCCTCGGGAGACATTCCCCTTGGTATACTACCGTGGCACATGGGCAATGTCTCCAGAACCATCGAGAGTGGAGGAGAGTTGGAAATTTTAGAGGACCGCAATGCATTCTAACCGTATAAATAAATGTTATTTTACTAACAAAAAATAAAATCTTTAAGAATACTTTTTATTAATAAAGAAACATTATATGTATTTATTTTTTAAAAAGTAAATGGCAAAAGAAACCTTCTGAGAGGAATAGGGGCTCACTCTCTACTCCCGGACTCAATACAAGCTTTCGATGATCCTGGATGTCTCTCAAAAAGATTTACTATGAGCCCTATTTAGTTGTTACACACGTGAAGGAAACTCGTAAAACCCCACTTGGCCATTGGTATTTAGGTGTTACACATGCGAAGTATTCCCGGAAAATTCCACGTGGAAGTCCATTGAGGTGTGAATCTGCGACAAGATACAAGTGTTCAATAGTTTTATTCACTCGATCACTGGTGGGTGCTTCATTACAGAGATACAATTAAAAATTTGATGAAGTAAAATGTTTATGAGGAAAGATGTCTTTTAATGAATAAAATTTTATATTTTACGATTGAAATTAAAGAAAAAATATTTAGAAAATAATTATTTTAATCATTTTAAAATTATGTTTACAATTGAACGACAAAGTTTTGATATTTTAATATTAATAAATCATGTTTAGATGAATTTTTCTTATTCTGTAATTTAAATACTTTAACGAGAGAAATACTTTATACGTGAAAAATCTGATGAATAAATCTAATATTTCTTTTAATATAAATATTATAAAATTATTCATATGTAAGCAATTAAGCAAGATTTCTTAACATTGTAAGTGGCAAACATAAAATCGAATAATTTGAGAATTCAAACTCAATTATACAGTAGTATACAGGGCGTTCATAAAACTGTCGAGGTTTCGCATGGTCTGAACACTTACATAAGAGACCTGGAGGTGTGTTTCTCGCGTGTGACGAAAGAGCAGCTGCGAAATTTCCAACCAGACGCACAAAAAAAAGCAGTTTCTCCTCTCAGTCCTCTTCCCAGTTCCCAGGACAAGGTTTTTCTTCGATGGCCCCAAAGTCCCTCGACCTCACCTCGTATGATTTCTTCTTGTGGGGATATGTAAAAGATTGCACGCACGTGTCAACGCTACCTGCCAGCCTGTCTAACAGTAAGTTGAGAAGTAGGATTGTCGCTGCTGTTGAATTCATCACAGCAGAAACATGCTGGCCAGAAATGTGTGTCCTTACGAAGGGTGGGTTTGTTGAGTTGCTCTTTCATTTCATGTAAAGTTTGTTAATGTATACCCTACCTAAGAGAAATAAAACCCCAAAATCTTTTATAAACACTCTACGTATATTTAATGATAAAACACAATTAAGATCTTTATAAAATGTTTTACTCCGTTCGGGTAAGGTTACTATAGTAAAGTAACTTACCACTAGATGGCACTAGAATAGTACTCTAGTATTTCAAATATTTATAAAACAATTTAAATATATTTACGTAAAATAAAAAATAAATTAAAATTGTTTATGTAAAAATTATAATTTGATTAATTAAAAGACATTTAGCACAATTTCTATCATTTTAAGATCATATTTATTCATAAAACATGTGCTGAACTTTGACCCCAGCGAGAGACTTCGTGACGCGACAAGTACCCAATTAAATTGCCAATAATTTTTTTTTTATAAATGACAAAAAATAAGTTGAAAGTAAGTTCTTAACAGTGATAAAATGTGATCAATAAACCTGTCCTACAAAAATTAGTTTTTTGAAATATTGTTTTATTGCACCGAGTAAAAAATCATTTTCTTTAAATTTAAAAATATTTACTTTTACATTTCGATTATTTTATAAAAAAAATAATTTTATTACAATTCTTCTATAAAAGCATACAAAATAACCTCCAAAGAACGGCCATTTTTATGGTCGTTGTTTGGAAGTGGAATAGCCGTGTCATTTCTCCGCAGATTAGAATGCATTTATTAAAAAAAAATATTTAGGCCTATATATATATTTAATAAAATGGTATTTAGATATTAAGACAAATATCCTAACAAACATTTTACATTCCAGTTAAGATAAAAAGGAGTATTTATGAGGAGAAAGGAATTTCTTCGCGTGTCACTAGAGACCCCACAGAGTGCCGCAGATGGCCCTGGGCTTTCACTTACCAATTTATATCTTCATCGAAACAAAGGAATACACGAAACAAAGAATTTTTTTTCTAATATCGAATCAGACGTAATAAAATATTATTTAAAGATAATGATACTTGTAGATATCTTTATTTGTTGATTAAATAACTTAATTACAATTTAAATTGATTTTGATTTAATGATCATTATTTGTAATTATGATGAATGTAACAATAATTTTTTAGTATTTATCAAATTTATTTGTAGTTTTAAATTATCCATTTAAGTCAAGATACATACAAGCTTACGTAGAGGAGGCCAGAAGAGTGATTTTGCTCCTAACCTAAGCATAAAGAAGCCCAAAAATTTATTTATTTTTTAATATAAAAGTGATATAAAATAAAGTTTACTTTAATAAATGGTGGAAAAATTTATTTTATTGTTTGTATTCTTATATTTTTATGACTAGGAGAGGAGAGGAGTGCCATATTTGTGGCTGCTCCGGGTCTCATCTCGTCTCTCTTAAGTCCTATATGTTTGTATAAGTTATATATATATTTATTTATATATAAAACTTTAAAAAATATTTACAGAATTCATTTTTGTATATGCTGAACAGTAACGGTTGACAAAGTAATGACATATTTACTTGAAAGCATTCAAAAATAGATCATTCCTTTGCACTGAAACAAAAATAGTTCCTCCCCAACTTTTACCGATTCTATTTAGTTTAAACGATTTTAAATCTTAATAATTTACTGTAATTGTCATTTAAGTTAAAATTTATTTATTTCTTACCTTGAATATTCATAAGTAAAATATGAAAAAAAGATAGAACTGGCAAACAGTCTCGTTTTTTAAAGGTTGTTACGGATATAATCAGAAGAACTGCTGTAATTGTGGCCATAGCAACACATAGTCCTGCTGTGGCTGTTTTACACATTTTTCCATCTATTTTAAATAAAATATTATATTATTTGCCACGATATACAAGTCTATATTTCTATAATTAATAAATTATAAAGAAACCAAGCATGTAAGGTATAGAAATAGAGCATTTAAACATTCCAAATGATGATTCAAAATCAGAGCTAACGATAAATAAGATGAAGATAAAGAGAGAAAGATCAGGAAGATAAAGAAGAGAGATTTAAATACAATTATTTGCATAAACTGATTATTAATGTGAATTAATTCGTCAAATCCTAACATAAACACCATCATGAGTAAACATAATATATTTTATATAATTATATATTCTTGGATAAATTTACTAAAAGTTACTTTCGATACTTTAAATGAATTAGGATATAACGTGACTTAATTATTGACGTAATGTAATGGTTGGAGTATCTTAAAATTAACAGGGAAGACATGAATGAAAACTAAACTAGAAGTTTGCGTGACTTGATTAATTTCTTATTGATTAACTTGTAATTTTATCTACTTCTAGTAATTCAAATAAACTAAATTCTTTACGGTATTTTAGCAAATATTAAGTAATAAATCAACGCTATTCGGGCCTTAAAAAGGAGGGGAACCACGTATCTCGGTCCCCAAAACTAATGTTTTTTACTATGACTAATAATTTTTGTTTTAAATTTTTTAGAGTTTTAAAGTCATTTTAAAAAATAATATTAATTATAACAGGAAAACTGCTTATATTATTTAATTGAAATTTCTTTGCTTAACATCATATTATTAATTATATAAACAACATGTGTGTAAAACTATTATTATATGGAGCAGGGACAGATTTAGGCTTTATTATATATAAAAAAGGTCCTTTCTCTTCCATGAAATATAATAAATTTAAATGAGTGAGATCATAAGGTTGTACAACTATGTTTGTATCCAGCCCAAATGGAAGATTTCATCAAACATTAATGAATCTCTTCGGGTATGCTTAATCATATTTGACTGATCAACTTGATGCCATACATTCTTTTCCATCAATCAATCAAACGTGATTGATCGAGAAGAAATTCTAAAGCATTAAACTTTTATAGATCAATCCTGAAAATAAAAAAAAAAAACAAAAGAATTTTAAACAAGAATTTGTTCTGTAAGCAAACTAAGCGCTTCGGGGTACAAATTTAAATGCCGTTAATAAAAATAATTGCAAATTTTGTTAGAAAAATTCAAGAAGCTCAAAATTAATAGGCATTTATATCTGACAGATGCGTTAATTTTGCTACTGAAAACAACTTAAAAGAATAAAAATAAAAATTCTCGAATGTTCATGATAGTTGCAATGAGCAAATTTGATTTGGAATTCGAAAGCTGTCAATTGGATTATTATTTAAAAATTTAGAAAATTAAAATATCTCTTCGAAATCATTCGGATTTTTGTAATAAATATTAGAAAATTGACCAAATTTTACTTTCCCGGCTGTTATATATAACAGACAAAAAGTATGGCGATTGGTCAGAAAATGAACCCCAAGATTTTTGCATTTTTGGATTCGGGAGACCTTGAAGCGTCGAGAAATACAATAAATAAATAAATAATAGAAGTTTTCCTGTATGTTCGTGTGTAGGGGCACGGCTTTATTCATCCACTTTGAAGCTTAATAACTCCCGAATCCATTGTTCGAAATTTTGAAGAGAGGTTTGTGTATTAGGGCATTGATGCTAATAAATTTTAGTGGTTCAAGATCGACGGGGTGGTGAGATAGAAAGAAGTCATATATTGAATGGAGTAGGACTTAATAATGAAGATTTTACTCATTATTAGCATTTAAAATTTTTCGTATAAAACTCATCTCTACCCTCAAAATTAAGCTTTTTGCCATTTTATAAAAAATTAATAATATAAAAAGCTTTTTCAAATTAAATTTCATAACAAATGGGGCCAGANCTAAATTAATATTTATTTTCGTTTTTGTATTTTTTTCCTTTGCATTAAGAATGCCTTTTTTAGCAATTCCATTACAGATTCCGTCAGGCGCACATTGAGGCGGCAGGGTGACGAGTCCAATTTAAGGATGAACAGCAGGAAATGTTTTCATTTTTGAATGTTTCTGCCCTAAAGACATTTGAACACTTTATAATCTTACCTGCATGGGTTCGACCTCCAGAATGGCAAGGGGTTACTTCCTTCGGTCATTTGGCCGTCGATAATCGCTTGAGATAATCGATTAGTGCAGACCCGGGATCGAATCCGGATGAACCACTTCAGGAATTTTGCATGATCGGTAATCCCGAATATATAGGTCTTATCTGTCATCACTCGATCGCCATCGTAGTGGGCCTTTCCGAATCCTCCATACATATGGAAAAAGGCCGTAATGTTGAACAACAACGGTCGGATGGCCGAGCGGTTAAGGTGACAGCCTACCGCTCTGGAATCCCGCAATCAACGTGGAAGAGTTGAAAATCCTCGGAATTTTTCGGAGTCCGTCTGGTTAAACGAGATTTTTTCGTCTTTTTTTACGATAGACATAAAAAGAGTGCAAAGACAGTTCTTTTTTATGTCTAGCATAAATCTCGACAAAGTTCTCAAGAAAAGCGGTCATGTGATGCGGACAGGACCTGACATACCCAGAATAGATTGTTTGTGAAAAATTCCTGAAGTTCCCGACCAGGATTCAAATCATGGTGTCCAGAGTTGCAGAATGATGCGTTTACATCCTCGGTTCTTTGGCCTTCATTCTATATCTTAGGTATGATATCGTCATTTTATCCATTTTGGTACAATGCGAAAAGTCTTCTATACATCTTTCTTTAATATTTGATTCAATGTTGTTACTATGAGAGATTACTGTAGCATCCGTATTTCCATGGAGTAAAATACTGTACTTGCTTAAGATTTTTTGTTGTCGTTCAGTATTATGCTTCATATTATGCTTACCAGATAGCGGCGAGAAATTGATATCAGCTTGCCATTCTGAGAAATGTGAATCACAAACATTAGGAATTTTTATGGGCAGTTCGTCCCGGATCTCTGTTTCTCACTGCCTGACTGTCTCTATTTTAGGCATGACTAGTGACAAGTCTACAATAGTGACAGCCAGGTGAACTCATGATGGGCTAGATCCACTATAAAAAAGGCAGCTAAAAAATGATAACCTACCGCTCTGTCCCAAATAGGTCGAGCCTTGTTTCTCACCACATGGTGCCATTGATTACCACGGCCGAACCCATAATGGGCATTGAAAAAAGTGCATCTTAATATCACATGCTAGGAAAATTGAAAAAATTTGCTATTAATTTAACATCAGCCTTATATATTTTAGATTTCAGATGTAACACCAACAACTTGATACTACGTCATCGAATCAAGTACCATGGCGCTGTTAACTAATATCCCCGTGTTTGGATATAATGTAATCGATGTAGCTGCGAAATTATCGGTGGTTTTGAAGTTTTCACACAGCATTACACAATGCCAACATAAAAAGATGTGTGTGCCGCGGATTACTATACGGAACATTCCAATTTTCAACGCGAGTGTTAAGTGTTGAAGTCAACAATTTGACGTCATCAACGACGTTCCAACTCGAGTACGAAGTGCTTAGTTCCCATAATTCCATTCTCAGCAACAAATGTCTTACCAATTACCCACAATTCATTGGAAAGTAGCAGTCAACATATCTGTTGAGTGCTGAGTGTGTTGAGTCAGCGCTGAGTCAGCGTTGAAAATTGGAATGTCCCAATAGACACACAAAGACAGATGACCTATGCATGCACACCTGCAGACACCTACCACCTAAAATTCTCATTTAACTTTTTTAAATACAGGTCAGAATATTTTCGGGTAAAAATAAGTGGAGATTTTTTGCAAATCTCCACATTTTGAAGTCTTCTGAACCAAGAAGTTAAAAAAAGGGAAAAAATTTCGTATGTATATATATATACAGTATAAGTCTATTGTGTTGATGCCTATTTCTTTTAATATTTCAGGATGGGGTAATGACGAAGAAACGAAATTTTGGCATGGCAGCTAGTGTATAAGGGGCATTGATCCTATTAAATTTTGATGATTAAAGGTTGAGAGGATGAGAAGAAAAAGGGGTAATGTGGCATATCTCAAGAGGGTTGGGACTTAACGAAGATTTTACTCGTTGGTATTTGCTATTTTTTATTTTATTTTTATTTTTATGAAACTCATCAAGAACCCTCAAAATTAAGCCTTTTGCCATTTTATAATAATTAATAATACGATATTCTGATTTTAAAAATATTTATAACAGATGACGCCACATACAGTTTTAACGTTTTTGCCGGGAAAGTTACGCAACTCGTTGCTGGCTATTTTTTTTTTTTTTAGTTGTATCATCGATAAATATCATTTCAGATTTATAGGAAAGTATGTAGCGTAGGAAGCTCATTTCTCATATAAAGAAATTCGTGCCATGGACACGGAACCTGTTAAGATAGATAGGGCTTTGTCAGTAAACTCATACGTTCTTATCCTAAACTCATAAATTCTTCCTTAGTAAATTCTAAAATACATTTTATTTCTGGCACAAGTCTTTGAACTTATATAATGTGTTAAGTTTACATAAGTTAGATTTACATAGATCCACTTATAGAAAACTCATTATGTGTGAACGGTTTATATTACAAAATGGAATTGACTCTCTCGCTTTAGGACATTATAAAGCCTGCGAAATGTCAAATATGTAGATAAAATTTTCGAAGTAGAATTACAAAATTTCCAACGATGTATGAAAAAATACTTTAATCAAAATTTAATTCGGTTTAGTTTGGAATCTTTCATATAAACAAGGTTTGGAAATACATTTATTTTTTATAAAAATGCACCTTTAAATTTCATTTATTTTTTCTTCTTTGTTTTCTAGATTAAAGATAAAACGGAGATAAGGAAAATATATGAGGAGCTTCTGAGTCATATTTTATTCTTTTTAAAATTCAGGAACAATTCAATTTCTCATTCACTTTCTGCTAGTATCGTTTACAGTATTTTTTTCTGCCCTGTAACAAAATTAAAAATTATTTATTTTGTAATTAAGTTTAGGATCGTGACTAAAGAATTATCGTCGTTAACGTTAAGGAACAAGGCCTTTCGGGAGTTAAGAGGCCCGAGCCGCTTATCTACACGAGGTCTCCAAGATAAGGGCCTCAAACACAGGAAAACAGTTAAAAATATAAAAGAGACTAAGTCGTCTTCACACTTCCGTTATGTCCAATCATCAGGAATGTGAAGTATACACTTCAAATTAACCTACCGTCAGTCATTTTAATTGAGAGTAAAACAGTGTTTAAGGGCCTACCAAATGGTCCTACTAACCCTTCATCACGAGGATCCTCCTCACTGATGAGGATTATTTATTGTGACATCGTCACAAAGCAATTTTAATCATATTTTTCATTTATTTAATTTAAAATATCTCAAACTAGTAGTGTCTTGCCCCTGTACATCATACTTTTCCTTTAACAATAGAGTCGTGCCTGTCTGACTCCTTTGGAGGGAAAATTTTTGAATTTAAATAACGTAACTTCCGATTTGTATCGGAAGTTCGCAATAATATAATCGTGGCCTCCTGCTAGGGCCCTATGGTTTTCATTTCTGGTCTTGTCTTTCATCTTTCTAACTCCGTTCTCGAGATTAAGGAAAGACAGACAGACGGACGAACCACACTGGGAATTTACAGATGTACAGTTTTTTTTTTTTCAAATTGCAGCCCTATTAAGAAGTGTTCTATCGAAAAATAATAAAAATTGGGTTATTTAATTAATTATAAAATAATTTAAAAATAAATATTATTTTATCAATGTTACTATAGATGGCAGCAAGTATATTACGGAAATTTTCAATATAAATTATCATAAATTTTAGAGGAAAAAAAATCGATACGATGTATCATTGATTTTTATGTAAGATTTTCACGTTTAAAAAAATTAAACCAGATGCGTTATAAGTTTTATCGATTCTTGCGGATTCTTCTTCTTTAATTCTCCTTTATTCTTTTAATTTTTCAAAATAAATTAATATATTATAGAATTTTCTATTGAAATCGTTAAAAATCAATTTGCGATATCTTCAGTAATCATTGATTTAAAGAATTTCAAAACACGCCATAAACTTGTTTTAATCGATAATTAATCAAGGCATTATGAATTAGTTTTTGATGATTTTGATAATTGTTTTAGACGATTATATAATTTATAACGTAAAAAAATAATTTAATAACTTAAATTAATTAATCTTTCGAATTCTTAAACAAAACACGGAGCTTAAAATTTACATTTTTCACGAGTTGTAAATCTGATTTCATTAGCTTAATTGTATTTAAATTACATTTTAAAACAAAATTTTAAGATATTGTAAACTCCAGTCGATTATATTTCTGTTCGTTATTGATAAAATTTTTAATTAACCTATATTTAGAAATTAAGTCGATTATGAAATCGAAGAACGTGAGTTCGGATCCCCCTTCGGGTTTTCGGCTCTTTTTTCGTTTTTTTAACTTTCCCGGCTGTTTTATAGCCTATACAACAGAGGGAAAGTATGGTGATCGGTCAGAAAGTGACCCCCCCTCTCCTCCAAAGTTCTACATTTTTGAATTCGGGGACCACGAAACATCGAGAAATGAAAAACGGGTATGGGTTTTTCTATGTGGGGGCTGGATTTTGTTCGTCCACTTTGAAGCTTAATAACTGCTGTACGTTTTGTCGAAAATTTTTGAAATTTGGTTGGGAGGTTTGTGCTTTAGAGGGATCGATTCTATTATATTTTGATGGTTATAGGTCGACAGGGTGGGGCGATAGAGGTGATCACGTGTCGTATCTCGAGTGAGGTCGGATTTACGATTTTACTCATTATTAGCTTTATACATTTTATAAAACTCGTCCCTATCCTGAAAATTAAGCCTCTTTTTTGCCANGTAAGTTGAGAAGTAGGATTGTCGCTGCTGTTGAATTCATCACAGCAGAAACATGCTGGCCAGAAATGTGTGTCCTTACGAAGGGTGGGTTTGTTGAGTTGCTCTTTCATTTCATGTAAAGTTTGTTAATGTATACCCTACCTAAGAGAAATAAAACCCCAAAATCTTTTATAAACACTCTACGTATATTTAATGATAAAACACAATTAAGATCTTTATAAAATGTTTTACTCCGTTCGGGTAAGGTTACTATAGTAAAGTAACTTACCACTAGATGGCACTAGAATAGTACTCTAGTATTTCAAATATTTATAAAACAATTTAAATATATTTACGTAAAATAAAAAATAAATTAAAATTGTTTATGTAAAAATTATAATTTGATTAATTAAAAGACATTTAGCACAATTTCTATCATTTTAAGATCATATTTATTCATAAAACATGTGCTGAACTTTGACCCCAGCGAGAGACTTCGTGACGCGACAAGTACCCAATTAAATTGCCAATAATTTTTTTTTTATAAATGACAAAAAATAAGTTGAAAGTAAGTTCTTAACAGTGATAAAATGTGATCAATAAACCTGTCCTACAAAAATTAGTTTTTTGAAATATTGTTTTATTGCACCGAGTAAAAAATCATTTTCTTTAAATTTAAAAATATTTACTTTTACATTTCGATTATTTTATAAAAAAAATAATTTTATTACAATTCTTCTATAAAAGCATACAAAATAACCTCCAAAGAACGGCCATTTTTATGGTCGTTGTTTGGAAGTGGAATAGCCGTGTCATTTCTCCGCAGATTAGAATGCATTTATTAAAAAAAAATATTTAGGCCTATATATATATTTAATAAAATGGTATTTAGATATTAAGACAAATATCCTAACAAACATTTTACATTCCAGTTAAGATAAAAAGGAGTATTTATGAGGAGAAAGGAATTTCTTCGCGTGTCACTAGAGACCCCACAGAGTGCCGCAGATGGCCCTGGGCTTTCACTTACCAATTTATATCTTCATCGAAACAAAGGAATACACGAAACAAAGAATTTTTTTTCTAATATCGAATCAGACGTAATAAAATATTATTTAAAGATAATGATACTTGTAGATATCTTTATTTGTTGATTAAATAACTTAATTACAATTTAAATTGATTTTGATTTAATGATCATTATTTGTAATTATGATGAATGTAACAATAATTTTTTAGTATTTATCAAATTTATTTGTAGTTTTAAATTATCCATTTAAGTCAAGATACATACAAGCTTACGTAGAGGAGGCCAGAAGAGTGATTTTGCTCCTAACCTAAGCATAAAGAAGCCCAAAAATTTATTTATTTTTTAATATAAAAGTGATATAAAATAAAGTTTACTTTAATAAATGGTGGAAAAATTTATTTTATTGTTTGTATTCTTATATTTTTATGACTAGGAGAGGAGAGGAGTGCCATATTTGTGGCTGCTCCGGGTCTCATCTCGTCTCTCTTAAGTCCTATATGTTTGTATAAGTTATATATATATTTATTTATATATAAAACTTTAAAAAATATTTACAGAATTCATTTTTGTATATGCTGAACAGTAACGGTTGACAAAGTAATGACATATTTACTTGAAAGCATTCAAAAATAGATCATTCCTTTGCACTGAAACAAAAATAGTTCCTCCCCAACTTTTACCGATTCTATTTAGTTTAAACGATTTTAAATCTTAATAATTTACTGTAATTGTCATTTAAGTTAAAATTTATTTATTTCTTACCTTGAATATTCATAAGTAAAATATGAAAAAAAGATAGAACTGGCAAACAGTCTCGTTTTTTAAAGGTTGTTACGGATATAATCAGAAGAACTGCTGTAATTGTGGCCATAGCAACACATAGTCCTGCTGTGGCTGTTTTACACATTTTTCCATCTATTTTAAATAAAATATTATATTATTTGCCACGATATACAAGTCTATATTTCTATAATTAATAAATTATAAAGAAACCAAGCATGTAAGGTATAGAAATAGAGCATTTAAACATTCCAAATGATGATTCAAAATCAGAGCTAACGATAAATAAGATGAAGATAAAGAGAGAAAGATCAAGAAGATAAAGAAGAGAGATTTAAATACAATTATTTGCATAAACTGATTATTAATGTGAATTAATTCGTCAAATCCTAACATAAACACCATCATGAGTAAACATAATATATTTTATATAATTATATATTCTTGGATAAATTTACTAAAAGTTACTTTCGATACTTTAAATGAATTAGGATATAACGTGACTTAATTATTGACGTAATGTAATGGTTGGAGTATCTTAAAATTAACAGGGAAGACATGAATGAAAACTAAACTAGAAGTTTGCGTGACTTGATTAATTTCTTATTGATTAACTTGTAATTTTATCTACTTCTAGTAATTCAAATAAACTAAATTCTTTACGGTATTTTAGCAAATATTAAGTAATAAATCAACGCTATTCGGGCCTTAAAAAGGAGGGGAACCACGTATCTCGGTCCCCAAAACTAATGTTTTTTACTATGACTAATAATTTTTGTTTTAAATTTTTTAGAGTTTTAAAGTCATTTTAAAAAATAATATTAATTATAACAGGAAAACTGCTTATATTATTTAATTGAAATTTCTTTGCTTAACATCATATTATTAATTATATAAACAACATGTGTGTAAAACTATTATTATATGGAGCAGGGACAGATTTAGGCTTTATTATATATAAAAAAGGTCCTTTCTCTTCCATGAAATATAATAAATTTAAATGAGTGAGATCATAAGGTTGTACAACTATGTTTGTATCCAGTCCAAATGGAAGATTTCATCAAACATTAATGAATCTCTTCGGGTATGCTTAATCATATTTGACTGATCAACTTGATGCCATACATTCTTTTCCATCAATCAATCAAACGTGATTGATCGAGAAGAAATTCTAAAGCATTAAACTTTTATAGATCAATTCTGAAAAAAAAAAAAAACAAAAGAATTTTAAACAAGAATTTGTTCTGTAAGCAAACTAAGCGCTTCGGGGTACAAATTTAAATGCCGTTAATAAAAATAATTGCAAATTTTGTTAGAAAAATTCAAGAAGCTCAAAATTAATAGGCATTTATATCTGACAGATGCGTTAATTTTGCTACTGAAAACAACTTAAAAGAATAAAAATAAAAATTCTCGAATGTTCATGATAGTTGCAATGAGCAAATTTGATTTGGAATTCGAAAGCTGTCAATTGGATTATTATTTAAAAATTTAGAAAATTAAAATATCTCTTCGAAATCATTCGGATTTTTGTAATAAATATTAGAAAATTGACCAAATTTTACTTTCCCGGCTGTTATATATAACAGACAAAAAGTATGGCGATTGGTCAGAAAATGAACCCCAAGATTTTTGCATTTTTGGATTCGGGAGACCTTGAAGCGTCGAGAAATACAATAAATAAATAAATAATAGAAGTTTTCCTGTATGTTCGTGTGTAGGGGCACGGCTTTATTCATCCACTTTGAAGCTTAATAACTCCCGAATCCATTGTTCGAAATTTTGAAGAGAGGTTTGTGTATTAGGGCATTGATGCTAATAAATTTTAGTGGTTCAAGATCGACGGGGTGGTGAGATAGAAAGAAGTCATATATTGAATGGAGTAGGACTTAATAATGAAGATTTTACTCATTATTAGCATTTAAAATTTTTCGTATAAAACTCATCTCTACCCTCAAAATTAAGCTTTTTGCCATTTTATAAAAAATTAATAATATAAAAAGCTTTTTCAAATTAAATTTCATAACAAATGGGGCCAGACACAATTTTAAATTCTTTGCCGGGAAAGTTACGCAACTCGCTGCTGAATTTTTTTCTATTGCTTAGAAAGCTTTATTTTGATATTATGGTTCAATCCTCGAGTTTCCAAGTGAATGATTGTAATGACAAAAAGAAAACTTTGAAGCAAGAGCAATCATCGAAGGAAGCAAAAATATCAGAAGAAAGCAGAGAAAAAAAAAAAAAGAAGAATTAGAAGAATTTTTCATTACATATTAAAATATTTACCACCATCATGCTTTCTGTTGCTTCGAAATTTTTATTTGCAATTATGATTTAATTACTCATTCGGCAGGTAAATGAGTAAATTATAATGACGACCCATTAAATACTCATAATATTAAGAGTACCTTTTCTTTGAATTCAATAAAATCTTACTTAATATCTTTTCTAGATATAATAATTAAATATATAGAAAGTAGATACTTACAGCTGTATCCACGAGCTGCAGTGAAATCATCGAAATTCGACAAACATCTATCAACAGTCAGTCGCGTGCCATTAATATGCTTTCCTTTTCCATAAACGGTAACGCAACGTGACCAAAGACCAGCGTGACCTTTTGATACTAATTGACCTAAAACATTAAAATATCATTTTTAAAGATATATTTCATATTCTTTAAATAAAAAATTCATATGTTGGCCATTAATTTTATCTATCTTTCTTATAAAAATGTGGAAAATCTATTTAAAATTTTATTATTTTTTTCAAAATAATGTAATCAATGAATGGCTCAAGCTAGGATTTTACAGATTTTTACTTTTTCTCTTTATAAAAAAATTAATATTTTAAATAAACAAATAAAATAAAAGACATTACAATGTAAGCGCCATATTCATGGAAGCTATTCTCTGCAAAAATACGTTGAATGCTGTTCAGAGCTCTTGGGAATACTAAATCGAGTCTGGGTGAGCCCAACTCCGTGAATTTTTCACGGATATGTCGGCCCTATTTCGTTGTGAGCTTGCCCATTAAGGAATAGGTGATGCAATTCATGTTGACCCGTTTTGGACCAAGCCCATAATTGTGACAATAAGAATTGCACAAGAAGTTTAAAAATCGTTTAATTGTGTATAGTTTTGCGAATATGAAAAATAGTGACAAATACCCAACCATGAATACGTAAAATGCCATGAATATGGAACTTCTACAGTATTTACTATTGATTAATTAATTTTATTGAAGATTAATTTAACAGTATTATTATATTATATAGATTTTATGCATGACAGAAAATTGTGTTGGTTTTCTTAGGTTTGCATTTTATTTCAAGTCATTATCTTAAGTTATCTATCATCAGTTGGATTAGAAAGATATGCCATGGCCGTGTTGGTCTTTCTAGAGATTAACCAATAGGGCCATGGTATATCTTTGCTGTTCTACAGAAGAATCAAGCCAGCCATTTTACTTGTTGCCCATGGCTATACATTTTCCATATGTTTTGCTCTTGGTTTCGCTATACGTCTGCTGTCAATGTTACCGTATATTTTCGTACAAACACTAAATAATTAAAATGAAATTTGATTATCTAAACGTGCATTCGTTTAGCAGAATGTTTTTATATTCTTACATCAATTTGACGTCATTTTCGCGTAATGAAAACATTGTAAATTATGCGTCACTTTAACGCAAAAATGGAAATTTTTCTGAAAAAAAAAAGTATTTTTAATTTATTGTCAATGAGATTCTATTCGGAAGCGAAGATTTTTATTATTTATATGATTGATGTATATATGGCCAAACCTCTGAACAACGGCCACTGACGGAAACTAAAAACTGGCCGTTGTTTGGAGGTTATTTTGTATGCATAATCGTTCCAGGAAAAACTTTTCCTGAAAAAAATGGTCTCTGTTTACAGATAGCCACTGTTGGGAGGTGGCCGTTATTGGAGGTTAGACTGTATTTAGCATGTTGTTAGGCTGTTTCCTATATATTTTTTTAAATATAAGTTACTCTATCAGGATTTTTTATAAAAAAATTTATAAATTATGATATTTTATTACTATTTTTTTATTAGAGAATAGAAAATAATAAAAATTTAATTTTAAAATAGAATTTAAGACGTGATAATTAAAATTTACTTGCAGTTTTCTTTAATTGCATTGATTTTAGATAATAAAAGTCACCCCCGCAACGTTAAATAGTAGAACATTTTTAAATAAAAGATATAATGTTTAATGATGCAGGTGCGGATTATCTATTAACTAGTTACCACCAACGTGCAAGAATGTCTACAATTTTTTAATTATAGTAAATTCTGAATAAAACAGAACCTGGATAGAACCTGCCTAAACGAAAATAATCCGATACGGAGCGATTCCGGTTTACACAGGTTTTATTAGAAACCTGCTTAAATCGGAAACGCTCCGTAAGTTTTCGTTCTATTTCTGTTCCGTTTTAGACAGGTTTTACTGTATAATAAATATACTAAGTTTAAATGTAGATTATAATTTATGATAAAACATAATTTTTATAAATTATAGTTTAAAAATAAAAATTTATAATTTATTCTATAAATAACTTTTAAATATCACTTTATGCATAATTTTTTTTAGCATTTTATTGCTTTTAAATATAGATTAATTGCCAAAAAATATTTTATGTAAGAATATTTGAGTATAAAGTTACTAAATTTTTATAAAGATAGTCCAACTTTTTGACAATAAAACTTTAATTAAATAATATTTATTTTACAAATTTAATTTATAATAATATTATAAATAGNGGTAAATCTTTTCTATAATAAATAGAAATAAATTAATATAATATTAATTTAGCTTTATAAAAAATAATAAAATTATCGAATAATATTTAACTTGTATTTATTTAATAACTGATCTAAATTAGTACACATATTTAATCATTTATCAATTTGTACTCTCCTGTTGTTATTATAAAACGTTTATACATTTTAAATCATTTTTTCCAATGAATAAGTTTTAACGTAATGCCCAATATCATTGCACAAATATAACGTTTTCACATTGAATGGAAACCGTAGAGCAGATTTCAACTTATTTTTTTATAGATAAATTAATAAACTATTAACAATATTATTGGGCAATTAAGGATCTCGAAGAGCTTCAGTCTCCATTGAATCTGTTTGCTCAGTATTTTGTCTTATTTTTTTGCTGTTAGTAGACTTCCAATTACAATCACCGCGACCTTTTATTGTAAAAATGTAAACGCTTGTTGTTATCATCCACAAAAATAATATACCAACCTGAAAGAAAAAAAAATGAACTTAAAATTAAATATTTATATATATTTATTTATTTAAATTAAATAATTATCATACTTGTAACCAATATGACCATCCGTGATAATACAGAACTTGAATGTCTACAACTAATAATAAACCATAAGCTGCTGTCAATTGGTGAATCAATTCCGCCATATTGCCGGAAATATAAAGCACTGGAATAGTTGCCGATATAAAACCTAAATTTAAAAACAGAAATTTAATAAAATTGGAAAGTAGATATTCCATTTAAAGTTGTTTATGACAGAATAATTTCATAATTCTTTGGTTTGATGGAAAACGGCAACACAACACAGGTAGTGTGCCAAAGGGAATGCCTCGGGAGACATTCCCCTTGGTATACTACCGTGGCACATGGGCAATGTCTCCAGAACCATCGAGAGTGGAGGAGAGTTGGAAATTTTAGAGGACCGCAATGCATTCTAACCGTATAAATNACAACGAAGCAAACACACAGACTGAGACCAATGAACAGAAGTGAATAAAAAATGGCACTGCAAAGTAATGTAACGTTGTATGGTGAGTTTTTGTTCATATCATGGAGCAAAAATATGTTCGATTTTCACGTTGGATCCTGAAAATTTCGTATGCTGGGACGTTCGTATCCTGAGGTACCACTGTATATAATAATAGCTAGATCTCATCATCTCTCCAAATATCTTTTTTATTTCTGTTGATAGCACGACACTTGTTCTGTAGCCATCTTGTTTCTTCTCAACCTTTTGGATTATGGGAACTCTCTTATGACTGGATCTAGTTTCAAAAACTATCTTGGGTTGATCTTGATTGAAACAGTCGAGAGAGATCGCACCATGGCACATTTCCTGATCTTATTACAATCTAGATTGAAATGCTCAGTGCAAACAGGGCATAAGAGTCTTTGAAAAGATCTCTTAGAATATATGATCATCTAAAATGGGCATATCAATTTCAAGGATGCTGAATGCCTATATAATGCCTCAAAGTCATATTACTAGGTTGTGTAGTGTTTAGGAGGGACTTTAACCAGAGAGAATATGGTTGGACCTTTGTGTACTACACTGTTGTTGTTATTTTAGGTATTTTGATATGTGATATCTGTTTTTTCCATGTGTACTTTAGAAGCAATCTTAGTTGTTATTAATGGATTCAAAATAATGTAATATTTTTCCAACTTTTTTCTTATTTTCAAATGACTCATTATTTTTCTATTCTACGTAACATGTATTTCAAAATCTAAGTAATGTTACATTTTCAAATTTTTGTGATATGAATCATTATGTTTAAACTTTTGGAATGTGTTTTTTTTTTTGTTTACAGTTTTAAGTGAAATTATTCTTTGTATGGTTGTCTGATAATAAATGTTAAAGATGTCTGAAAACATTAACATGCAAACAATAAATTTGCTGGAAAAAGGTGTAACATGATTTAAATGTGCATAAAAAAAAATTAATTAAACAGTGATGATGGCACATGAGTAATAAAACATTTATTTGCAATACAGTCATACCCCGAACTTACGCGATAGGTGGGACCGAGCNTAATGCAACATGACAGAAGAATAACTAAATTAAAAATTAAAACTTTAAATATTTTAATTTAAAATAGATAAATAAATAATGAACTTACCATCAGACGAGGGCTTCGTTGTAAATCGTCCCACTGTTTGAGTCCAATTGAATTTTAAATCCCAAGTAGTCCAGTAAGTAGTAGTCAAAGTTAAGAGTTGCAGAAGGAAGAGCAAGCATTGAAAAAGGAGAAAGAGAATCAGCATCACCTTCATATCAAATGTGTAGAAGGAGTCACAGGCTTTAAAACAAGTGAGTTTGCATCTGTTGGGATGCTCGACCTATGCACCAAGAGCGTCTAACCTCAGGGCTTGTGTGCGAGTCGTCTAGGCCAAGGTTAGACACCGCAAACTGCGATTTAATTGCATCAGAGAAAGACGTTCTTAAAGAAAAAAAAAAGAAAAAATAAAATAGAAAAAAAGGACCAGTCACCAAAATTGGCCAATAAGAAGGTGCTCGAGTGTNAACGGATCATTATTATTTTATTACATATTTATATCGTTCTTTGTACACATTAATTTACAAAAGACTTTCACCATTTTACCACACATTAAAAGTGATAGAATAGTCTCCATACAAAAATCAATGATGACAGGACTCATAATTATATTCTTATAATATGATAGTTTAAAAAATTGTAACAATTATACATTTTTCATAACTTTAAATCTATTAAATCTTTTCTGACTGTAATAACATTGTTTTGCTCTAGTTTTAAATCAGTTAAACAAACAAAAAACACAATTTGAAATCCTGCAGTTTACATCAGTCAATACAAACCACAAATTTTTTTAATCGTTATAAAAATATATATATAACATTAAAAATTGAATATATCTATAATTGTCTTTAAACATTTGAAAATATTCAACTCATAAGAAATAAGTGTAATTATTTCTATTAATACCACACATATTCTTTTAATTTTATTTTAAAAAGAAACATATGGCAGTATTAATAGAAATAAACTAATTCAAACATTTTTTAATTATTATTAAAATATCCACACAGTCAATTTTGACTGACAAACTGCAGGTTTACCAATAATTTTATTAAAAATTTAAAATATTTTAAGTTAAAAATATTTAATTTAATCAGTTAATTTACTAATAAAAATATCATTATATATAATACATAAAGAACACAATTTTATCATATTTTATATGGTAAAAACATTTTATAATTAGTTTCTTAGAATATAAATATCACTTTTTTCAAATTTTAAATCATATAATTATAAAAATACAACTTTATCATGATACTGTATATAAATATAAGGTAATAATGATAAAAATATAACGATAAATTGATAGAAATCATTCTAAATCTCCAATTAATTACCGGATGATGATGATAAATTTAGAAGCTAGCATGACACCAATGAAACTGATCAATAACTATTAATAATCAACTCCATTTCATTATTTCAGCTCTATTTACCATTTATAGGCTTTTAACAACAAATATGAAATGAAAACATATTAATTTCAATAAAGAAACTTTCTAACCGCTCAGCATTAAAAATAAATCAAAAGCATCTTGAATGCACGTTTGATCATTTCCATCAATGACAAAGACACAATGAAATAGAAATTTTTAAAAAATTCTCTACGTCGTGTTAATCGATTAAGATCAACGAAATTAAGATATTCGTTATAAAAGCTATTTTAATTTGTTATAAAAAAATTTTTACTTACTGAATCGAATTTTCTTTACGAACAAAGAAAATTTCAGGCTACAAGATGGCGAACGGCGTGAAAAAAGAGATCACTCGTAAAGAGAATGGCGTATCGCGCTCCCTAGCGAATGATTTTTGTAAAATGTTTTATTCGTATTATTAAAATTCTATTTAGAAATTTGATACTTAAGTTGTTATTTTTGTATATTTATTAATAATTTTTAGCCTTGAGATGTAATTTTTATTTAATTAAAATTTTCAGCTTTGAAATATATGAAATGATAAATAAAATCGTAGTAATATCTATTACTACGATTTTATATATCATTTCATTATCATAATAATATTAATTAAAAAGCGTAAATATTTCTGTTTGTAAATTCAGAAATAGCAATATAAATAAACTAAATTAATATTTATTTTCGTTTTTGTATTTTTTTCCTTTGCATTAAGAATGCCTTTTTTAGCAATTCCATTACAGATTCCGTCAGGCGCACATTGGGGCGGCAGGGTGACGAGTCCAATTTAAGGATGAACAGCAGGAAATGTTTTCATTTTTGAATGTTTCTGCCCTAAAGACATTTGAACACTTTATAATCTTACCTGCATGGGTTCGACCTCCAGAATGGCAAGGGGTTACTTCCTTCGGTCATTTGGCCGTCGATAATCGCTTGAGATAATCGATTAGTGCAGACCCGGGATCGAATCCGGATGAACCACTTCAGGAATTTTGCATGATCGGTAATCCCGAATATATAGGTCTTATCTGTCATCACTCGATCGCCATCGTAGTGGGCCTTTCCGAATCCTCCATACATATGGAAAAAGGCCGTAATGTTGAACAACAACGGTCGGATGGCCGAGCGGTTAAGGTGACAGCCTACCGCTCTGGAATCCCGCAATCAACGTGGAAGAGTTGAAAATCCTCGGAATTTTTCGGAGTCCGTCTGGTTAAACGAGATTTTTTCGTCTTTTTTTACGATAGACATAAAAAGAGTGCAAAGACAGTTCTTTTTTATGTCTAGCATAAATCTCGACAAAGTTCTCAAGAAAAGCGGTCATGTGATGCGGACAGGACCTGACATGCCCAGAATAGATTGTTTGTGAAAAATTCCTGAAGTTCCCGACCAGGATTCAAATCATGGTGTCCAGAGTTGCAGAATGATGCGTTTACATCCTCGGTTCTTTGGCCTTCATTCTATATCTTAGGTATGATATCGTCATTTTATCCATTTTGGTACAATGCGAAAAGTCTTCTATACATCTTTCTTTAATATTTGATTCAATGTTGTTACTATGAGAGATTACTGTAGCATCCGTATTTCCATGGAGTAAAATACTGTACTTGCTTAAGATTTTTTGTTGTCGTTCAGTATTATGCTTCATATTATGCTTACCAGATAGCGGCGAGAAATTGATATCAGCTTGCCATTCTGAGAAATGTGAATCACAAACATTAGGAATTTTTATGGGCAGTTCGTCCCGGATCTCTGTTTCTCACTGCCTGACTGTCTCTATTTTAGGCATGACTAGTGACAAGTCTACAATAGTGACAGCCAGGTGAACTCATGATGGGCTAGATCCACTATAAAAAAGGCAGCTAAAAAATGATAACCTACCGCTCTGTCCCAAATAGGTCGAGCCTTGTTTCTCACCACATGGTGCCATTGATTACCACGGCCGAACCCATAATGGGCATTGAAAAAAGTGCATCTTAATATCACATGCTAGGAAAATTGAAAAAATTTGCTATTAATTTAACATCAGCCTTATATATTTTAGATTTCAGATGTAACACCAACAAATTGATACTACGTCATCGAATCAAGTACCATGGCGCTGTTAACTAATATCCCCGTGTTTGGATATAATGTAATCGATGTAGCTGCGAAATTATCGGTGGTTTTGAAGTTTTCACACAGCATTACACAATGCCAACATAAAAAGATGTGTGTGCCGCGGATTACTATACGGAACATTCCAATTTTCAACGCGAGTGTTAAGTGTTGAAGTCAACAATTTGACGTCATCAACGACGTTCCAACTCGAGTACGAAGTGCTTAGTTCCCATAATTCCATTCTCAGCAAGATGGATTCCATTCAAATGTCTTACCAATTACCCACAATTCATTGGAAAGTAGCAGTCAACATATCTGTTGAGTGCTGAGTGTGTTGAGTCAGCGCTGACAACAGCGCTACCTCAACGTTGAAAAAAGGAACGAATTTTAACGAATGTTGAGATCAGC